TGAATAATTTAATTGAAGTAACTTAATAAATGTTTAATTAAGGGTTTTCTTAGAGTAGACTTCTTAAACTATAGTCTGTTGTCTGTATAATATAAAGGGTTTTCTCCGAGATAGCATCGCCAGACAAGTTTCTTTGGAAATGTTAGAAAATTATTGCAAAATTTTCTTGTTTTCAACTAATTTTGGAAAATTGTAGATCTAAATTTTTTTTAGTGAAACATTATATAGTTCACTTTTCATGATATGATTTGTTTTGAATTGGAGCACGAAATTATTTACTGTACTTAATCAAAAATATTTTATGTTCTATTTAGTTATTTAAAACTGTGACCTTTAAATAAACAGCAAAGTTTGATCTCTCATTCGGGTAAAGTTTCGTTATATCCTTTTCTTTGGAAAGTCTTTTATGATTTTTGCTCATATTTAATTAATCTTCCTCTTAAATGCTACCCATTTTTAATATTTATATATTTGCAAACTTAAGGTAGTTTGACTTATTTTACCTCGCCAAGCTGATGAGCAATAATTTCATGCATTATATAGAATGCATGAATTATATAGAAATGTTTATCATTTTGAAAATTGTAAAAGGGCTCCTAAAACACAATAAGTAAAAAAGAAGAGAAATAAGAAAGACGACGGGAGAGTAAATTTAAGATTAAATAAGGTGGTTAATTTCTCTATTTAACGATGGATTTAAACTTTTAAAAGTCATTTTGCAATGGTGTGTTAGTGCAATTATTATTAATCACGATTTTGTTACGTTTCTTTTTCTGTCAGAAACTAATAAAAAAACAATAGCAATTTCAACTTTTTTTTGTCCTTTGTAAGAGCTGTAAAAATGAATGTGGAATTAATCTGTCTTTCATAGCAATTTCTTTACATGTAGAAACAAAAAAAAAATGAAGAGATAAAATAGAAAAAAAATAAAATCAAGTCTAATGAAAAGTTGTTTAAATACAAAAGAAATTCTATAAAACTAAAAGTAATTTGGTTTATAGCCACCAGCAAATATTTATTAATGTTGTTTCAATAACTAAATAAAATACCGAGAAAATAAAATACCTAGACTAGAAATGAAATAATTCGCTTGCATTGATTCGAGATAAAAAGAATTCCCAGAATTTCATTTAAGAAGAAAAGTACTGCAAATAATAATTATGATTCTATAAACATCAAGTAACGCATACAGTAAATAGGAAAATTTATAATCATAAATTCATATTTTTAGTTTTTTTTTTTAATTTTCATAAACAAAATTTATAAAAATACAAGATATACTCGACAATTACATGAACACATTTTTCATGAATCCAACTTCCACACAGCAAACAGTGCACCAGATCTTCAACTGAATGAGTCTCGCACACAAAGCCTCTCTCCATTCGCCAGGATTAATTTCAATGATTACATCATCATGTAAAGAAGTAGAAAAAAATAAATTAAAAAAACTTAATTAGCTTCAAAAATGCAGAAGGAAATAAAAAATGACGTGTCTCAAGCAATAAAAAGTAGGCGCCCATTCGCTAGACTTACTAGATACGAAAGGGAAGAAACCAAAGTAATTTGAAATATAAAGCGTAAAGTTGCATAAGGCATAATAAAGACAAGAAGAAAATATAAAGAAAAGGCATAATAAAGAAAAAGCGTAAAGCATGATAAAGACAAAGAGGATATAAAGAAAAAAAAAGGAAAAATACGAAGAAAATTAAGAAAATTCATAAATTTTATTTATTGCGCATAAGCTGAAAGTATATCGAACTCATAAAATAGGTTGAAAATATAGAGAAAACATTGAAAATAATAAAGATTAATGAAAAAAGAAGAAGAAAAAAATATTAAAATAAAGCATTTTTAAAATAAATAAGTAAATATAAAAAATACATATTAAAAAGCCGGAAAACAAGAAAAAACGAAGGGATATAATCTCCTCATCAGCTCACACGACTATATCTACAAAAAGGAGTGCTTTCCAATATTGTATCAATATAGACAGAGCAAAATATATCCATACAATAGCAAGAGCAGCACTAAAAAGAAATTAAAACAATGTAGAACACATTAAGTAAAAAATATATCATGAAAAAAACAGAAAATTATATGGCTTTATAGATTTCGGTTTGGTTTTGTACTGTATTTTCTTTACATTTCATTTCCCCCCTGTCACATCAGCTCAGCTTGATATCCGGGAATCTCGTTTAATTCATGTGAATGTCGGTTCCTTTGTTAACGATATTAGTTTATCATCATCTCTCCATAGCACGTGGAAGAGGATTTTGCCCAGATTTGCCCCTCTCGGCTTTTGCGGCTTTTCTATTTTTTTTTAAAAATCTTTATTTAATGTTTTATTTCTTATTTCACTTTGGATACTGTGGTTTTTCCAGTTTCATTTTTCATTGGCAACTTCATATTTTCGGTTTCAAACCACTTTGGCTTTCTTGATTCAGGACTGGTTACAATGTTCGTTTATTTTTCTGCGCTTCATCCATCAAGTACATTGAATTGTATTTGGGTGTTGATCCTTTGGTGTACATTGTATTTGGGTGTTGATATTATTTTGATCAGAATCTTATGCTCGTAAAAGCGTAGTATATAGAAAAATATAATATATAGAAACATCAGGGGGACCGGGATAGCCTGGTTGGTAGGGCGTTGGATTCAAGTTCGCAGGAGCAGGAATTCGAATCCAGCCGGCTGAAGACTCCTCGTGTAGTAATTGGTGACTAATGCACGTTAAATATGTCGGGTCACAAAGTCCTAGCTCCATGTTCCCATAACAAATAAGAACAATCGCACCCCACTGCCGTAATGGCTTATGACAACAACAACAACAACAACAATAGATGCATAAAGGTGCTATATAAATGCAAATTATCTTTATCCAAAAAAAGCCACGTTACTTACATATTTGGCAGAAAGAGCAATTTTTCAAGTAATGAATTATACAATGTTCTTAAACATACACAAATCAATGTTTTTTAAAATGTGAACTAATATTCTCCAATTTCTTAACTATAGAAAAAAGAAATATCATGATATATGTAAACTTCGTGAATGTGTGTATACTAGTTGTAATCTCTTCCTAATCCAATATTCTACATTTTTCTCCGGAACTTTTTCTTTTGTCTTGAAACCTTCTTGCTAAGAAGATGAGATCAAAGGTGTAGAGATTATTTGCCCGACAACTCTGTATATAAAAGAGTTAAAATGCATTTTGAAAATTCGGTTTTAATGTAAAATCTTCATACTTAAAAATGTTAAAAACAACGCAAAAAACACAAATAATGTCATATGAAAAGTTCTTTGTTCGAATTCTAAAATCTTGGAAAATCATCACTAATTTATTAATCTATTCAGATTCTATTTTCAAATGAGGAAAAAAAAAAGAAAACAATCTTTACGTTTTGGTCAGAAATCAGTTCAAAGATATGTCTGACTCTTAAAAATTTCGAGATATTTTTTTATTAACTATTTATATCAGTTCAAAGACTAAAATGAGCAGGGCCCCTAATTAGAATGAATTAATGACCGGGTCAGCAAGAAGATTTTCGACTCAAAACCATTTGGAGCCCGAAAAGGGGGAAGACCCAGGATCGAATGCCTAGAAAAAGTGTAAGAGTTCTCAAAATTACAAACTGGAAGAGTCTATCCAAGAAGTAAGCAGCTTAGAGCTTGCTTCTGAAGAAGGCCATGGCCCACCCTGGGCTGGCCTGCCATTGAGGAAGAAGTGAAAAAATAAACTTTCCCGAGCTAACTGAAAATCAATAATTGAAAAAGATTTAATTTTTATTTCATTATTTTTATTGTGTCTTTTGGTTGCAGATCAAAGGAGAAACATTCCTCTTGTCTATCACATAGTTCGTTTAAGGTTATTTTAAATTTCTACTCCTGCTGGGGCGATATTATACGGTTATTTTTTGGAGACTACGCGAAATATATATAGCTTCATAGCACCCAAAATTATGGTCCAATTTTAACCCCCTATAATTTGAGGTTCAGGAATCCAAACATGTAAAAAAATGTATATTTATTCAGAGAAAGTACGTTTTTGTGTCTGATTTTGTAACTTAATAAATAGTTAGCAATAAATAATTAGCATATTTGAGGTCACCCCCTTGAACCATTAAGATTGACACTTGTACGTGAAAATCGGATCATTAAAATGAAAGTTATTCCGGGTGATATCTTTTTTGTTTTGCGCGCACAATAACTTACATGTTCAGATAGCCTCTAGATAGCAATGTTAAAAGTGTACATAAGTACATTTCATACATATAGCACTTTTAACTATTTCTTCTATTGTCATTTGCATAGGCTCATTCGATTTAATGTAAAGAAAACAACATAGGAAATAATAACCTTACTTGTTGAGATAGCAATGTCAAATGCGTAAATAGGTACAAATTCAAATTTGTTCTTTTTGTATATAAAAAGCATATAACATCTAAACTATTACTCCAATTATCTCGTAATTGGTTTCATTCAATTCAGCGTAAAAAAATAAATTGGAAATAATGTCTCACTTGCCTGTCTCCGTCTCAGATTAAGATTATATATTTTCGTTGTTCTGCTTTTTCAATTTTTAAAAATTGTAATTATGTGCTTTTTAAATTTTAAAAAATTTAATTACTTTTTCATAATAATATTTCTTTTTCTCTTTTAAAAAATGTTTTTCCTTCGAAAAAAAAAGTTCTTTCCTTGTTTTCTATGTATCTTTATCTTATAACATTTTATTTTTATCTAATAATTCCATTTTCCTCCATTAATTTTCTAGTCAACACAAATTTTTCACCAATTTCTAAGTATGTTTTACGAAATTAAGTATAATTCATATAATAATATTGATACAATCCTATTAATTCACTTTTATTAGATTAAGTTTACTTGAAGTCATTTAAACCATAACATATAGTTTAGACAATTTATAAAATGTAACTAGTGTAATTTTTAAATACATTGTTTAAATATGACTTACCAACTATCTGTTTCATTTGCAGTTGAAGATTTAGAAAGCTATGGTTATAAGAAAAAGATGGACTTGAAAGTGCCAACTGATAAATCAAAGTATGAAAAAACGTCTCGGTCATTTACTCATTCTTACAAAGTCAAACGAAGTCTTAAGTTGTCAACCAAACCGAAACATGAAACCAAAACATGGAAGCATGGAACCACCATTTCGACACAATCTCCAATAAAAGAAATACTTTCCGAATCTCTTGTTAATGAAACATCAATTCCTGCAATTGGGAAAAATGCCCCAATTCCACGTCAGAATTCTACAGCTGACATTTCTCAAACTGACCTTAAAATAGGATACAAATCTTTAGACCAATATTCAACTCCAACTGCAGATTATAATTCTTGGAATGTCAAAAAATTTGATCCGTCTAACATAAAATCAACTTCCAGAAAAATTTTATCCTCAGAGACGGAATCTAAATTAGAAAGAGTATCAGAAAAAGATAATTTTATTCAACCAGATATTGACATATTAAATGATTTCACCGAAATTCCAAAACCATCTAAGCTGGTTTTTCTTGATAAAAAAAATGATCAGAAAAAATTTACTCGAAATTTTAAATATGATCCAGCCTTGATTATGATGGGTCTTGGAAAGAGAAGTAAACAATCTATAACAACCAGTGGATTAAATAGACTTTCCAACGATGAATCTATTTTAAAACAAATCGGGTTAGGGAATGTCAATTATGATCATAAAAGTATGCTATTGGGTAAAAGAAGCTCTACATATGATCCCGCTCTCAAATACATGGGTCTCGGTAAAAGAAACAATATTTACGATCCTGCTCTTCAGTTTACAGGATTAGATAAAAGGGAAGACAGTAATACTATGCCACTTAAAAAAGTTGAATTGGAGAAGAGACAAAAAGTTTATGATCCAGCTCTTAATTACATGGGTCTGGGAAAGAAAAAATCTTATGATCCTGCTCTCAAATATATGGGATTAGGCAAACGACTATCTAGTTATGACCCAGCATTGAAATTTATGGGGTTAGGTAAAAGGAAGTCTAGTTACAATCCTGCTCTTAAATATATGGACTTAGGTAAAAGAGAATCAGCATATGATCCTGCTTTGAGGTACATGGGTTTAGGCAAAAAATCAGACTATGACCCTGCTTTAAAGTATATGGGATTAGGTAAAAAATCGGATTATGACCCTGCTTTAGGATATATGGGTTTAGGTAAAAAATTTGATTATGATCCTGCATTAAGATATATGGGTTTAGGTAAGAAGTCAAGCTATGATCCTGCTTTAAAATATATGGGATTAGGTAAAAAATCAGATTATGACCCTGCTTTAAGATATATGGGATTAGGTAAAAAGTCAGATTATGACCCTGCATTAAGATATATGGGATTAGGTAAGAAGTCAAGCTATGATCCTGCTTTAAAATATATGGGATTAGGTAAAAAATCAGATTATGACCCTGCTTTAAGATATATGGGATTAGGTAAAAAATCAGATTATGACCCTGCATTAAGATATATGGGTTTAGGCAAGAAGTCAAGCTATGATCCTGCTTTAAAATACATGGGATTAGGTAAAAAATCTGATTATGACCCTGCTTTAAGATATATGGGTTTAGGTAAAAAATCAGATTATGACCCTGCATTAAGATATATGGGTTTAGGTAAGAAGTCAAGCTATGATCCTGCTTTAAAATTTATGGGATTAGGTAAAAGACAGTATAAATATGACCCTGCAATGAAATATTTAGATCTAGGGAAACGTGTAAGCTCTGAAACAAAAGCAAATGGGTTAATACAGAAGACAATTCAGGATAACCCTACAGGAAATGAATATATCACAAAAACAAAGAGTCAGAAAAATAAAAATACTCCACAACATGAAAATTATAGCCCAAACAAAGAAGCGCATTCCAATGACGATCCAGCTTTTAAAAACTTGGGATTGGATAAAAAGGATTTTAGTTACGATCGGACACTAGATTTTATGAGCAAACGCCAATCAAAAGTGAAAGATTTTGATTCTGATGACAAAGATGAACTTTCCAACCTAGTTTCTGTAAATGATAATTATAATGACGAACTTTATCAAAGCTTTGTATTTACTCCTTTTATAGGTACTTCTCAGAAAAAAAATCCTAAATTTGATCCAGCATTAAATTTCATGGGACTAGGTAAAAGAATCAATACATCCAACCAACCCTCAAAGATTACCTCTTTGGACGAAAAGTTTCTAAAGCATGAGCTTGTAAAATCTTTCTTAAATCCAATCCAAGATGACTACAAAATAGTGAATCACAAATTTCAACCTTTTCTAAAATCCTTAATGAATAGTTCTTTAAAGATAGACTGTATAAAATGCAATCCAACAGATCGTCATAAGAGATCTTTGGCAGGCTTTGAACAGTTCAACAACATGGACTTGGATAAAACTGAAGCTAAAAATGGTTTTGCTAACGTCAAGAGGGATTATTATAATCGCCCAAAGTACAATCCTGGTTGGATTTTCATTGGTCTAGGCAAACGGAGTTCACTTCTTCAAGAACCTTTGATAAATTATGATGCTTACGAAACTGAATCTACTAGAGCTGGGAAGAAAATCGCACCCCAAATTGTCTTTGACAAATATTACGATTTACTTTGCACAATACAGAAATCAATAGAAGAGATTCAAAATGATCTAAAGAATAAAAATAAGCTTAGTGTATCAGAAAAGAATCTTGAGAAACCTGATACGATTTCAGAATTGGGTGTTAATTGGTATAGAATTCCATATGGCAACTATGCCTATATCAACGATGATCCAAATGAATCTCACCTTAGAAAGCCGGAAGAAAAGGATGTAGTTTGGAGTCAGATCCAACCTCCATTTGGCACGGACACACATGTTATTAACACTTAACATCCGTGGTAAAAATCAAGTTATGTGACTTTAATTTCAAAGGCATGGTGATTGTTTTTACTTTATGTCATTATTCATTCAGTTACTCTTTATTAGTCATTTTGATGTAAGTATTATTTTATGTCATTAATACTTCAATCAAGTTATATGACTTACATTTCAAAAGAATGTTAATGGCATTACTTTTTTTATGTCATTATTTATTCAGTTAACGAATTCTGAATACGATTTATAAAAGCTAAACTATTTACCTATCAATGATTGTTTAATCCTCTTCACAAACTGATCGTACTAAGCGTACGAGAACATTTTATATCATAAAGCCAGTTACTTATTTTGATTATTATACAGAATGAATAAAATCAAAGATTATAGCTACAGTAATTTTCCCTTCCTGCATGTTGATCTTATAGGGTGAAAACAAATTATTTGTGAAACTTTAACACATGATAACATTTGAAAAATAAGATTATTTTACTTCTTAAAAAGGTAACCTTAAAACGGACTGTTTTATTTACTTATAATGCTTTTTCACTATACTTAAGTTATTTTTTTTTACTTAATTTAACGTGGTTCTTCATGTATTTTCATGAATTATTCATATGTTGCTTTCTGTTATATGACTTTATTGTGTTTTTAGCATATTAGTTTCTTCTAGAACTAAAATGCCTTGTGATAGAACCAAAATAATTCAACTTCTTTTAGACATAATCATCGATAATGTTTCAAAATACTTATGTAATGACAATTTTTTTGATACTTAAAACATATTTCTTGTTTTTATTTTCTGTTATATTTAGCGCACAAAAGGAAGTTTACTCGACCAGATCAGACAAAGTAGTCAGGTCACGCCCTGGTCAGTTACTACGTATAGCTTCATAAACAAAAATGCGTATTTTATCAACACAATATTACACATTAAGAGAAAATGCCATTATTAATAGTAATTATTTTAAATAATCTTAACAGCAATTGTTCTTTATCAACATCATGTTAAGACGTACTTATTCTGTGATTCATATTTTTTCGTTAGCATTATAATAAATAATTTGTTTTTTCAACGAGTTTGAATAATACATTTAAAAGCAACACAAGCTTGAATTAAAATTAATACGGGAATAATAAGGAATGGTTAAATTTTTATTGGAATCGATAAATTTATTTATCGTTAATCTTTCTTTCTCTACTAACAGTATCGTATAACTAATACTCATATGAAACTTAAACATAGATATTTTTATTTTAAAAGTAAGACAAATTAGTATGTTTGAATGTTTGTTGTTTTGAAAAAATACAATGATTGAATATTTACGAAAATATTATTCGATATAAAGCAATACTGTTATATAAAATTATAATTCTCAACTAACTATGTTAATTATTAAATATTTAAATTTCAAAATTAATTCGCATAATTTACTTAAACTATTATTATTAAAATCGATCGAGTTGATCTACATTCCTGCCCACTAAAAATTGAAATATTTTTTAATGCTCAAATGACGTTAAAAAATAAAGATAAAAGGAGAGAAACTTCTGCCTTTGTTTAACTAAAAATATGTACTGCAATCGATAATTGTATCAAATACCATACTGTAGGCATTAAAATATTTTTTTTAAAATTTATATTTGTGTCTAAAATATTTAAATTGCAATGTTTTTTTTTAAACAAGAGAGGTCGCTAAAAAATTCACTTGGTTTGAACAAAAATGTTCCCTTTAAGCACAATGCATACATTGTTTATGAGTTTGACTATAGAGTAATCTATTGCATTTAACAGTTTTATTGTTAAAATAAACATCAGTGATGAGATTATGTAAAAAATTAAACAATATTTGACCGTTTTCTATATAATTTCTTCTTCCGTTTTGTTGGTGTTATAACTTATTTTTCTTATTTAAGTCAAATAAATTACTAACGAAATCGCAAGAAATTCCTTTTTATTTTCTCAAATTAAAATATTTCTTAGATGATCAAGCGGGAAAATTTTATTAAAATTTTCATTAAGAATTTTGTATTCTGACATGGTTATACACGTAATCAAAATTTTTTCCCTCTTTGATTACTCATAATAAGCTTTACCGATTATTATTCCTTTTTGTTTCATACAATTATGATCGAAAGAAAATAAATTGAACACTACTGCGTGTTTTTTAAGTAAAAACAATAATTTAAGATGTCAATTATTAAATTTACTTACTCATTTATACAAATGTTATTTTACATATTCATTCCCTCCATTTATTTACAAAGAATATTTTTGCAATATTTTACGATTATTTTTTTCTATTTATTAGTATTTTTGACAGCATGCTCAGATTTACAAATATAATGTAAATTTAGAATTAATGCAGTGGAAAATCTGTCGAGTATGTCAAATACTGTTTTCAGATAATGTAAACTCACATAACCTTCAGAAAACTTGGGTAGAGTTTAATACTAAATTAAACAATACAGTTTTGTAATTTATATTTAATCCAACTATAAGATATATTCTCTTTCATTTTCCATCTACAATAAAGTCATGAGAAATATTGTGCTAAGGATATACCCGGAAAATAATGTTTGCTTTCATGAATTTTTATTAAATTTCTCGCTTGAATTGAAAAAACTAAATAAACTAAATTAGTTTTTCGTCGTTAATCTCTCATTGTTGTACACATAAAATAATGTAACACATGTTAAAAAAAATTAACACACATACTCAGCAGAGTATTTGGTTATAACTTATATTAAAAAAAAAGCTCCATAATTTGTCTATAATAGGGGGAAACTTTGGTGCTTGTATCAAGCACGAATCTAAAAATTTGCATTCATTCGTATAGATGAGTTCAATATTGCAAAGTCAATAAAAATAAATGAAAAAGGAATTCTTATCATTCTTACTGGAATTGTCTTTCGATGGCTTTGACACTACCTGATCGTACATTGCTAGTTGTTTTTATGAGAGAGTGACAGTGCAGAGTTTCGCTGTAAACATACGAAAAGTTCCGACTTACTGAAAATGATTGAACGATTTGAGAAATTTTTGGAGTGCAGCCAGGCCGTACGTATCAAACCTTCACAATTTGCAAACGCAGTTGTGGAGCTGAACAGCAACGACCAGTCTACAACCGGTGTATTATCAGGCCCGTATTTAAAAATTCTTCATTAATTTTTCAAATCCTTATAAAATATTTTCCAATTTTCTTAAAGAAGGGAAGTTGATGCGAAATAAACAGCCGTCTGAAGCAAATTCTTTTTTTTTATTATAAAAGAAGAATTGATTTCAGACGGCTGTTCGGATATTTTGAAGAAATCCCAAATCTTGTTCGGGAAATTCTGCCAGATATTCTTGAGAATATCTCCAAACCATCACTTTTATGCAAAATGGACACATCTTGAGACGATGATTTTCTGAGGAAAACATAATTAGTCCATGGTATGGCCACTACCTGATCAGTGCGATTTTTGGTAGTGGGAAAATTTGAAAAATATAGTTTTTCAAGGACATTTCAATTTGAAAAGAAAGAACTACTTTGCATATCAGGGGAATAAACACATACGTGCTTTTATTAAAAATGGTGCATGCAATTATTAGAAATTAGAATGGCGGTCACTTAATTTTTAAATTATAAATAAATAATGTTTGTTATTATAAAAAAAGTTATTTACTGCTTCAGTTGACAAATATACATTCATTCACTGCATGTATTATGCTCGAAGTGCCTAATTTTCCCCAATAGGCAACTTTTGAATCTATTTTTTTAGGAATTAAAACCCTATATTCTGCTTAGTATGGAATTCTTTTTTAACACTCTGATCACGTGTTATGGAGCTCTAAACACCTCACGTTATTTTATATGCACCCTGTATATAGTATTGAGTTTTATAAATTCTTTCATTTGAATCACAAGTAGAAATTTCAAACCTTGCCTATGACAGAATGAGTAAGACATCTTCTACATTTTATCATTAGTAAAGTAGTTTTCATTTTTATTTATTGCTGCTAAAATATTATTGGTGCAATTAAGATAAACCAATTTTGTGCTGCAATGTTAATGAAAATCCAAGAATAAAAATAAGAAAGAAATGTATATTTGCTTTGTAGATGATATTCCGTAATTCACGAAGAAGTAGGGTAAATTGGGGCACACAAAAATAATATTTGCCAACCTATATTTTCTTTTTTCATTTTTCGAAACTAGCCGAAGTAAAAAAATTTTGTATTCTATGTTATTTTTGCCACTATCTAATCATAAATACTGGATACTCTAAAAACTAAATTGCTTGTCTTGTAAACCTTTATTTTAAAGATTATTAATTGAAGTGGAATGCTACTGAATTTTCAATTATGATAATACTATAATTTTTTTTTATTGAAGATACAGAAGAAGCTTTATTGGAAACGAACTTTATGACAAAAGGAAGTCTAATATATAGAATGATTCAAAAATAACATCAGGTGTTTGAAACTCACAAAAATGATCAGTTCAAATGTAACACAAATTTAATAGAATTCTATTTTCATTAAGAACAAAAGGACTTCAAATCAACAAATCGAATTAATATTTCGAATTAAATTATTTACTTTTAATTTATTAATGCATTTTTAGTCAAAACATTTCAGATTATTCTTAGTCACAGAAATTTGTATTCTATCATATAATAGTTCGAGAAACATTTTCAAAAATGTCAGTAACTTAAATAGTATCCTTTTATTTATCGTTTCTATGATGATGGTTCATAGTACCAAAATGGCTGAGTTGTATTTGAAGCTTATTTATTTGAAATTATTATGTTGCTTTTTTGTTACTTTAAACATTTATTTACTTTTAATTTATTAGTGTATTTGTTGTCAAAACATTTCAGATAATTCTTAGTCACAGAAATTTGTATTTTATCATATAATAGTTCGAGAAACATCTTCCAAAATGTCAGCAACTTTGATAGTATTCTATTATGTATCGACTCTGTGATGGTGGTAATGAACACTGTTAATGATGGTTCATCGTACCAAAATGGCTGCCTGTATTTGGAGCTTACTTATTTGTACTTGTTATGCTGTTTTTTTGTTATTTTAAACATTTTATTATAGGCTCTAAAAGCGATGTGTTTTTGGTTGAAATCCGAAACTTTTCCAGTTATTTAATAGGTTGCCATATCTTCAGCGCGTGGCTTTTTAAGTTTTAAATAAAATTAAGATTTAACCTAATTGAAAAATTCGATAACAGTCAAATTCCGCATTGTAGATTTAGATTATGGAGCTAAGAGAAGTTGCAGATAAGTTTGAATTAATTTGTCTTTTTTTATACTTGTTTTTTTTACAACTAAACTCAGAGAATTTCAAATATAACAATATTAAAGAAATGAATTACAAATATTTCTTTGATCCCAAACTGGCTGTGATAATTAGGATTGTAACCCAAACAGTACGGGCACTCTGTATTTGCGTTTTTTTTCAGTCGCTATATTTAACTAAGTGTGTAAACACTTTTTGCATCCATTCAAGGTAACTTACACGGCAACAAAGAAGTATATTTTAAATAATTGAAAATGCCATAAAAATAATGTTCTTCTTTTTGCAACTATGATATCTAAAAATGATAGTGTGATTCACTACAGTAATGTGTAACTGTTGGAACTTCCAGAGTATGTATTTATATTTTGAATGATTATCACCCTTTGAACTTTGAAACAGTTATAACCATCATTTCCATCTAGTTATTGTAAAGTGGCCCTGCTTATTAGAGCCCTGCAAAGAATGAGGAGTTCCTGTCTGAATATTGGTGAGGATGAAAAAGTGAATGACATCGACCTCAATTTTGCTTAAATAGATTCCTTAACTGGATTCGAATCCCGGCGATGGCTGGTCTATACAAATTCGCATCAGCTTGTACCGACCACAGTGCTGACATGAAATATCCCCAGTGGTAGACGGATCATGGGTTAGAGTCCCCTTGCCGTCAGGCTAACCGTGAGAGGTTCTCGTGGTCGTCCTCTCCATGTAACTCAAATGCGGCTTAGTTCCATCAAAAAGTCT